TCGGCCCCTCTCATACAACATTTACAGTATTCAAAACATACATAGAACGCGGACCTGAGGACGCTCTAACTCGTGCCTCGGGGCACGGTGACGGATATGAAACCCTTACAGACGATCTGCCCAGGGGACACATCCACATTCAGGACATGGCGACAAGCAAGTCTCGATTTGGGAGCCTCGATTCCCCTCCTTCCAGCTCTCGGCGCCCATCCCCCCCTCTTCGCCTGAGCCTCCGCCATCGCACTGCTACGAGGCCTTCGAGCGCACGTCCAGCGTCGACTCCGAGTTGGCCCGGCGCCTGTCCTCGGTCGACCCCGCGCTGGCCCGGCGTTTGTCCGGCGACAGCTCTGCGCTTGGTCGTAGCTCGACCCCGGTGGCCTGGCGCTGCAATCTCAGAGGAGGAACAGGTACCCATACCTCTACCCTCCCCTCGATTTTCCCCTTTTTGGGGCCTCCTGGGCCTCCGTCGTCGCCACCGCTAGGTTCGCCGCGAAATCCTGGTCTGAACGCACCCCAGGAGAGTTCCGGGGAGTAGCGGTATCAGTACCTTTTGGTGTCTCCGGCGATCTCACCCTGGGCGGTTTCGCCTGGATCTGGGCCCCGGGGCCCTCGCTGATTGGATTTGGCCCGAGAGGAACCTCAGAGATCACCGATGTGTCATGGTCAGAATTTTATCCCTCCCCGTCTTGGCCTGGTATCTTAATACGGTGGAGACCCATGCCAAGAAACACCCTGCTCGCCTCCAGGGTGCCTTGGGTTTCGATAGTTTTGCAATGGACAGCGTGACGTTCCCACACCAAAAATCGGTGGACGTTCTGGGGTCTCAGAGTTCCGAACTTTTTCTTTGGGTGGAGGGCGAAGGGTGAAATCTGAAATGCAGTTCCGATGCGTTTTCGAGGCTTGAATATGCAAAAGGTGAATCACAAGATGTGCAAAAGACCATGGTATGGATTTCACCCTGAGCCCTCCACCCTAAGACAATGTTCAGGAGTTGGGTTTCTCATGGAAGGTTTATTGTGGACTGGCCTCCACCGTAGGGATCCTGGAGTGCGCCTCGCCGTAGGCGGCCTTTGGGGGCCCCGCAAGGAGACGACTCCCGCTCCTAGACCGGGCGGGAGACCATCGGGAGGCATCGGGTGCCTTGAGACGGGGGTCAATGCAAACGGGGGTTAGCCAGAGCGCCCGATCTTGCAGGATCCTGCACGGCCAGGGTCGCACTGACCCAGGTTTGGGTGCAGGATCCTGCAGGATCTTGCAGGTTCCTTCCCATTGACCCGGGCTTGATCTTGCAGGATCTTGCAAGGCCTGACCGACCCGGGTCTGGATGGACCCGGGTCAGCAGATCCCCGAAGGCAGTGGTCGCCATGGGGGAAGCTCCGAGACGGGAATTTACCCATATCCACCGCCTGGAGGATCAATTTCCAGGGACCTCGGCAGGCGGTGGATATGGACATATTTTGGCCCCCCCGGGGGCCAAAATATATCCATATCCTATACGACCACCCTTCGGGTGATAAGGAGGTTCGGGGGGGGAGGAACCAACGTCTCACTCGATCGGTCTCACCATCGTCAGGAGGGGAAAAAACACACAGACACAATTAATCGTCGATTCCCAGAAAAATGTGGAAAAATATGGGAAGTGGGGGGAAGACAAAAACCCAGAAAATATAGGGAAATATGGGGAACCCTTTTATTTGTGTGTATTTATTTGTGTGTCTCAGGGCCCTTTCATATCGATCTCACTATCGATCTCACTATCGGTCTCGCTCGATCGATCTCACACGATCGATCTCACTATCGGTCTCGCTCGATCTATTTCATTCGATCGATCTCACAATCGATCTGACGATCGATCTCACAATCGATCTCACTATCGATCTCACTAACGATCTCACAATCGATCTCACATTCGGTCGCACTATCGATCTCACTATCGAACAATCGATTTCACAATCAACGTCATCATCATCATCATCATCATCATCATCATCATCATCATCATCATCGTCATCATCGTCATCAACGTCATCAACATCATCATCACCATCATCATCATCATCACCATCATCATCATCGTCGGGACACCATCATCGTCCCCATCAGCATCACCCACATCATCATTGGGGCACCATCATCATCATCATCATCATCATCATCATCGGAACACCACCATCATCATCATCACCATCTCATCATCATCATCACCATCATGAGCAACACCATCAACATCATCATCATCATCTGGATACCATCATCATCAGCAGCAACATAATCATCATAAACATCATCATCATCGGGACACCATCATCATCGTCACCATCGTCATCATCACCATCATCATCGTCATCATCGGGAAACCATCATCATCATTAACATCAGCATCACCATCATCACCATCATCACCATCATCGGGCCACCATCATCAAAATCAGCATCATCACCTCATTATCATCCTCATCATCAACATGATCATCATCATCGGGACACCAGCATCGTCATCATCATCATCAGCATCATCATCATCATCGGGGCACCATCATCATCACCATCATCATCAACATCATCATCAACCTCATCATCATCATCGGGACACACTCATCATCATCCTCGTCATCATCATCATCATATCAGCATCATCTCATCACCACCAACATCATCATGACCATCATCATCATCATCATCGGGACACCATCATCATCATCGTCAACATCATCATCATCATCATCATCATCATCATCTGGACACCTCATCATCACCATCCCTTTCGCATCATCATCCAACATCGCCATCATCTCATCATCATCATCATCATCATCTATCATCATCATCATCATCGGGACACCACCGCCATCACCACCATAGACCATCATAAGCAGCGCCACCATCATCATAATCCTCATCATCATCATTATCATTATCAGCATCAACATATCGACTTCATCTTCATATCAATCATCATCATCATCATCATCATCATCATCATCATCATCATCATCATCATCATCATCATCATCATCATCATCATCGGGACACCGACGGGACACCGGCGGGACACTAGCGGGACACCGCGCGCCACTGGCCCCCGGTCCAGAAATCATTTGGTCCGGCCGCGCCACAGCCGGAGGCGGGACACCGGCGGGACACCGCGCGCCACCGGCCCCCGGTCAGGAATCATTTGGTCCGGCCGCGCGATCAGCCGGAGGCGGGACACCAGCGGGACACCGCGCACCACCGGTCCCCGGTCAGGAATCGTTTGGTCCGTCCGCGCCACAGCCGGAGGAGAATTCATTTTCGCCCGCCCATGCAGCTTCGCCTCGCCCGCACGCACTGCACGCACGAACACGAAACCGAAACCGATTTCCCGGTAGGGGGGCTCTCCGTTCCACTTCGATCTCACCCCTGACCTCCGATCCACCGCCCGCTAGGGCACCAGGACGTCGGTTCCCAGGCGGTGGATATGCATAAGCCCCGCCTCGCAGAAGCGGGTCCTGAGGGAAACGGGTCCTGAGGCTTTTTGTTCCCAACCATCCTGTGGTGTTGGGTCCTCGTTTTGAAGAGACGGTGCCCCGCGTTCTCCTTCCTTCTTTCCTCCCGCTGCCTCCTCCCCCTCCTCCCTCCTCCCCCTCCGCGTCAGCCACACCCACTTCGGCACACCCCTCACACGTTTCGTGGCCCCATAGGGAGCTCCGCCGAAGGCCCCAGTGCTGCCGCCCGCATGCGTCACGCACACCCATTCGGCACACCCCTCACACGTTTCGTGGCCCCATAGGGAGCTCCGCCGAAGGCCCCAGTGCTGCCGCCCGCATGCGTCACGCACACCCAATTCGGCACACCCCTCACACGTTTCGTGGCCCCATAGGGAGCTCCGCCGAAGGCCCCAGTGCTGCCGCCCGCATGCGTCACGCACACCCAATTCGGCACACCCCTCACACGTTTCGTGGCCCCATAGGGAGCTCCGCCGAAGGCCCCAGTGCTGCCGCCCGCATGCGTCACGCACACCCAATTCGGCACACCCCTCACACGTTTCGTGGCCCCATAGGGAGCTCCGCCGAAGGCCCCAGTGCTGCCGCCCGCATGCGTCACGCACACCCAAGTCGGCACACCCCTCACACGTTTCGTGGCCCCATAGGGAGCCCCACCGAAGGCCCCAGTGCTGCCGCCCGCATGCGTCACGCACACCCAATTCGGCACACCCCTCACACGTTTCGTGGCCCCATAGGGAGCTCCGCCGAAGGCCCCAGTGCTGCCGCCCGCATATGGTCACGCACGCCCATTCGCACACCCCTCTCACGTTTCGTGGCCATAGGGAGCTTATTATTCTCATATTACGTTTTTTTTCTTTTTCTCTCTTTTTTTATCTTTTTTTTCTTATTTCTTTTTATTTTCCGCCGAAGGCCCAGTGCCTGCCGCACGCCAATGCGTCCGCACACCAATTCGGCACACCTCTCACACGTTTTCGTGGCCCATTAGTGGAGCTCGCCGGCGCCCCTGTGCTGCCAGCCCGCTTGCGTCACGCCACACCCATTTCGGCACACCCCTCACACTTTCGTGGCCCCATTATGGGGCTCCGCCGAGCCCAGTGCTGCCGCCCGCATGGCGTCCGCACACCAATTCGGCACTCCCTCTCAGTTTCGGGGCCCCATAGGGAACTCAGCCGGAGGCCCCAGTGCTGCCGCCCGCATGCGTCACGCACACCCAATTCGGCACACCCCTCACACGTTTCGTGGCCCCAAAGGGAGCTCCACCGAAGGTCCTGGTGGGTGTGCCCGCATGCGTCCCGCACATTCATTTCGGCACACCCCTCACACGTTTCGTGGCCCCATAGGGAGCTCCACCGAAGGCCCCAGTGCTGCCGCCCGCATGCGTCCCGCACGCCCTTTTCGGCACACCCCTCACGCGGTTTCGTGGCCCCATGGGGGGCTCCACCGAAGGTCCCAGTGGGTGTGCCCGCATGCGTCCCGCACACACATTTCGGCACACCCCTCACACGTTTCGTGTCCCCATAGGGAGCTCCACCGAAGGTCCCAGTGGGTGTGCCCGCATGCGTCCCGCACACTCATTTAGGCACACCCCTCACACGTTTCGTGGCCCCATAGGGAGCTCCACCGAAGGTCCCAGTGGGTGTGCCCGCATGCGTCCCGCACTCACAATTCGGCTCAACTCCTCGCACGTTTCGTGCCCGTAGGGTTGGCTCCACCGAAGGTCCCAGTGGGTGTGCCCGCATGCGTCCCGCTCACCCATTTCGGCACACCCCTCACACGCTTCGTGGCCCCATAGGGAGCTCCACCGAAGGTCCCAGTGGGTGTGCCCGCATGCGTCCCGCACATCCATTTCGGCACACCCCTCACACGTTTCGTGGCCCCATGGGGAGCG